GACTTCAGTCCGGCCCCAGAGCCTCTTAACCAAAATGCTGTAGTCCACCCTGTCCCCCAGGTGATGCTTTCTATGTGAGTATATGTGACTTTGGACCTATAACACCCATTTTAGGAAGAAAAATATAGTCACCCCCCAAAAAAAAACTGCAGTATCATTTATGTCACTACATCTTCTGATTTTTAGCAGTGTACATAAGTGTTTTACACTGTTGCAATTGGTCTATATCAGTGTTTAGTTCTTTCCACTCACTATTATTTTATATAAATAGTTCCACATACTTAAATTCCACTAGCTATGTATCACATGCATGCTAGTAGTCATTAAATGCAGAGTCCTTGCCCAGTTCACTACTGTTAGATACTCAGATTACTATTTCATTTTCACCATGATAAGCAGAAGTATTGCCAAAACAAGCTAGGAAAATATTCCTTTGGTTAATAATCCCATTAATGAGAGTGCTGAAATGAATAACTGGATGAGCAGCTTGGGGCCCACACCAGGTTGCCCTCCAGAAGGACTGACCAATTGATAAAGCCAGGAGAGATGTGTTGGTGCATCGTTCAGTCCCTAATCCTGTCAATGCTCAAAAAAGGAATCACTGGGTTAATTACGCTCATTTAACAAATTCAGTAGAACCTCATGGTGTTTCAGTTTGAATTTCTTCATTAGTAGGGAAACTAAGATTTTTCTATAATTCCTCATGTGTTTTTGTTCTGTGTGTAGAATTTTTTTTCCTTTTGTCTTTCTTATATATTAAGGAAATATTTTTTTTAAAAAATCAAGAGGAACAGTGTTTAAATATTAATGCTCTGAAGAACTAAGAAATACTCATATTCAATTTCACTTGACAAATATGTTTGAATTGCCCTTTACACAGATACCATCATTAGACACGAAAAAATTTTAAATAAAAATATTGTAATTGTCTAAAAAGTTGGAGATGGTGCCAATTATACAAATATCTGATACTACCATATAGAAAAATGGTTCTATAAATGGAAATATCGCTCTTCCAACTAGTGCTTAGCTATTTTGTTTCCTTTAAGAGCTTCAGGCTCCTTTGAGAATCTGTCAAAATCTACGGGCCATTCCCATGAGAGATGCCCAAATGCGTACACTGTGCATGAGGTCTCACAGATTTCCGTGAGTCCCCAGTTAATGATGCCCATGACAGCAGTCTGATCTCTTTTTATTGTTTCCTTCAAACTGTTTCTTCTAACTACCCTCTTCTCTACATCTCATTGCCAGTCTCCTTGGTCTAAGGTTATCTAAGGTTACAGAGGGGAACGGCAGAGGAGAAAAACATAAAGGGGCACTTACCAACGCTGTGATTACAATGCTGAGTTCTGTGGTGGAGGTAAGGCCAGCACGCCGTGGAGGTGCGCTGGAGGACTCTGAGTCACCGCTGCTCACCCCAGACAGTTACAGTAGCTTCCTGCCTAGTTTCGGTTCCTACTTTGCCTCCTGCCCCAATTCACTTTTTTGCTTAGTAGAACACGATGTCTTTTTAAGGCCTAATCATATCACATTATCCCTTCATAAAGCTTCCCAATCACACTAAGAATAAAATTCAAATCCCTATCCATAGCTTCCAAGACTCCATCTGAGCTGGCCCCGCCCTCTCTCCTACTGTTCTCTGCTAAACTTAATCCATCCTAGCCCCACTTTCCCTCTGCCTCAGGGCTTTTGCACTTACTTTTCTCTCCACCTGGGTCACATGCCTCCTGGAGCTTCCATGACTGTCTTGCTCTCTTTATTTAGATCTCAGATGGTTGAGGCACATTCCGGGACCACATTATCTAAATCTTCTCTCCATCCTCATCACTCTTTTACCATTACCTGCTCACTCTGTTTTGGAACTTTTTATCACACATGTCACTACCACGCACTTTATTAATATATTTTTTGTTTTCTGACTTTCCCACTCTTATAAGCACCCCGAGGACAGGGACTTTGTGTAAGTACTGGTAAGTCTCTAGGACTTACAACAGTACCCAATACACATAATAAGTTGTTCCAATATTTGCTAAATAAATGTTGGAATTAATACTTTGCTTGTGCACTACAGGCCATAACTGATTCCTGCCCACAGAGTAAAAAGTTAAAAGACAACTTCTTAAAAAGTAAAAATCTTGAATTACTCCTAAAATAAAAGGATAAAAGGTGTAATGATAGCAGCATTCTGGAATTCATATCTGAAACTTAACTACCATTGTGAAAAATTAGCATGAGAGGACCACATTTGTAATTTTTATACAAAAGAAAGCTGTCATACACTGTACTTGAAAAAGATCAATGCAAATACACATTAAAGGATTGAGACCACAAAGAAAGCTTATTAACTCAAAACAATGTCTCTCATATTCATATACATGTATACTTAAAATGTATACAAATAAATCTACTCTACATACCATTTTGCAATTGCTTTAAAAAAACAATTTATCTTGGAGAATTTTTAAAATTTCAACACTGAAGACCATACTAATTTGTCAAAGGCTAAGGAATACATTTGACTAGATAGGCCTTATGAATGGGCATTTAATTTAGGTTATTTCTACAGTTTTGCTATTTCAAAAAGGTTTCAATAAATATCTCTGTATATTTACATGTATATAGATTAATATAGATCATATACATGTTATATAGAATAATATATAATATGTGATACTAATATATCATATATAATTGAAAATATTTGTCATATGTATATATAATTTTCCTGAGGATAAAGCAAGTTCCTAGGAATAAAATATCTCAATATGACACCATCGAATTGCTCTTCTAGATACCAATTATTCTTTTAGCAATAAAATATAAAAATTCTTGTTTTCTTATACTCTTTGACGAGTTTGAACATCAGTTACAAATTGTCGTCAGTCCCATGAATTAAAACAAAATAGTGTCTCACAGTTTTGTCTTTCTTTTTTTGGTAAGTATAAGACATATTAATTCATGCTCAGTCTTACTCAGAATTAAGGAGTACTTGCTTCAGTGGTTTGGTTCAAAATGGCTATAGGTGTTCATACCAAAGGGCATGGAAATGAGATGCCTCTAAAATAGACTTTAAATAACTAAATGATGATCACTTCATTTGTAATATAACACTATCATATACAGCTCAACCCCTACAGTTTTCACCCATGTAAAAAAGTTTATTGCTCTCCATTCAGCATCTACCTCCCTATTATATCACAATGGTTTTCTAATGGCCAAATACAATGTATACTTGTAGTATTCCTATTGCCTTTTCTTCAGTTTTTGGTATTAACAATACAACAATCTCTCCTTAAGATTCTTCTCTTCTCTTTTTGCTCCTAGGACATGTGCTCTGGGTTCTCCCCACCTCTAATAGCATTCCAAGTTTGATTACAGGATACTCTTCCTTTGTACACCCCTTAATCCTGGTGATCTCTGAAAAGCCAATCTTTAGTGTCTTCCACAATACACACACTCTCTCGCTTATCTTTTTACTTTCACATTACCAACATGGTGGTAAATTATAAATCTTGATTTTGGTTTAGCCCAGGTCTCTTCTCCCGGGATATCTACCTATACAGTCCAATAGAAATCTCATTCTGAATATTCCACAGGAAACTTAACAGCTCCTCCAGACAATTAGCTTTTCTCTTTACCTCCTTCACCACCAGCAAAGTTCCTCACTTCCTTCTCTTGTTTTTTATCCAGCAAACAGCGCCATAATCAACCAATTACTCAGGCTCCAAACCTGGACTGTCACTTTCCACAGCCAGCTAGTCATTCGTGCATTAATTCTCTCTCTTAAATAGTTTTCAAATTCATTCCACTCTGTCCTTCACGCCGCTGTCAGCACCCTAAAACAGTCCAAGATACGATTTTTGAATGGACATATGAGTGAAAGCATTGGAAAGGAAGCCAATAAAGTGAGAAATGAAGGCACATAGTGCCCTATGTTAACATTCACTGGAAGAGGGTTTAAATTCTGTTTTTTCAAGTGTGTTCTTAGAGTTTGAGCTCTCTTCATTCAATGCCATGAAACGCCGTTATAAAATGGACATCAGGTGACTTTCTCTTGTACGTAGCTGCCTTCCTTCCCCCTCCCTCCCTTCGTCTGCGTCCCTTTCCCCCCCTTCTTCTCCTTCTCCCGTCGGTTTGGCCTTTCTCCGAGCCCCGGGCCCCTCTCCCTGGCCCGGCGCCCTCCTCCCAGCACGCTGGTCAGCTCCCCGCCC